CGTTGTGAAAGCGCAGCTCGTTGATGACGAAGGACACACGTTTCGATGCCATCTTGATGAGTCTGCTGTGGGTAGATTAAGTGGGGAGCAATGGCTTGGAGATGAAGAAATATACGCTTACGTCCTGTACGTGACTCGAAACAGCGATATTATTGTGATTGACCCTTTGTTGAAGCTAACAAGATCTTCCTTTAAAATCCCCAATTATCCCCTAAAGGACCGAGTTTGCTATCTTCCTCTTCATATGTGTGGTGGAAGGCATGAGGGTTAGTTGTATGCGATACAACATCGTCCACTGCTCTTCTGTACGACTCATATGCACACTGTTACGACTACTCTGCCGAGAATTTGGAAGCGAGGGAGCCAGAGCTTAGAAGGATGTGGAGCCAAATAACTGATTCTCCTTTACTACATTTGGAAAGCGCTGGAAGGAATTTTGTAGGGTTCAGCTGTGGTGTTTTCATCTGCATTTATGCTGAACGCCTTAGTAGAGGAGAGCGAACCAAGGCGGAGGAAGCTTCACCTTATTTCCTACAATCTGCTAGAAGAAAGATAGAACGCTGCCTCAGAGACTGTTTTGCTGTTTCATACTGTCAATGCTGGCTCTGTGCGTCTTCCTCGAATATATGAGTATTTGCTTACCACACGTTACACTTTGGTGTTCATCGAAAAGGCGGTTGAAGTGATGGATGACGGACCGACTACAAATGCGTCAACGATAGAAATAATGGACGATGAAGCATTTGCGATCCCATCAACGAGTGTGGAAACTTCTTTTCACAACACAGCAATATCGCAGATGACTGACACTCAGAACTCCTTCACCGATGAAGAGCTCATGTTTGTGCTGCGTGTAACCTTTTGCGAACTAACTGATGTTCATTTTATAAAAGTTCGCTCAGAAGAACCATTACCATCAGGTGTTATGTTAGGTCTGCACACGACTGTACTTCCACTTTGGTTGTTTTTTACAACAACCGATACGGATCCATTTGCGCAGCGGTATTCCAGCGCTTTCCGAAGAGACCACGTGCAACAGTTTTTGATTTCCACTCCTGTTCCATCAAAGCGTCTACCCGAGCATATCTTCTGAAGATCGGCGATTTGTTCGGATTCGCAGGTGCAACAGCCCATATGAGCAAGGTCTGCGTCTTTCACAAAATGGATGTTGCTGTTAGAGTCAGTCTTTGCGTATCGCATTGCGTCGAAGCGATTGAAGCTGACGACGATCACCTCAGTACTGCGAAACTCGAAGAACACCGCAAGCAGATTCTGAGTGTTTTGGCCTCGATACCGTCTTCCTATACGAACACCGATTTGGAAACTGTTGCTGCTTAGATATATCTTTCTCATTGCTTGCTAGAAAACCGGACACAGTTTTTGTCAACACATTTCTACATGATGGAGTCCATGATTTCCGTAACATCGGCGCTAAACAGAGCCTGAAAGCAAAAAAAGTTGTTATTCTGTATTCGAACACGGCTGGAACTTTATGTGGTGCGGTCGCAAAGAAATACCGTGGTAAGAATGTTTGCATCGTCTTCGATTTCTCACTAGCACCAACGCAAGAGCTGAGAGAATCATCTCTGGATTTTCGACTCACATCTTATGGTTATGGCGGTTGTCGCTTCGTCATTCCATTCAATAGCACGTCCATTTTCCGAAGCGACATTCCTGCCGCAGTGAGCTCCTGCATCACACGCACTCTTGACATTTTTACGGAATCCATCACTCTTTCCATGAGTACCATACGTTTGCATGCAGCCTACATTCATCGTCTTGCATATGATGCTTCTCCTACTGTTACAACCGAAGAAGAATTGCCTGCACCAAAACCTATATCACCAGCGCTCCATCTCGGCCCTTGAAATATCACATGTCGACATTGCTCTGCTGTCTCTTTCAAAGGGGAACCCAAGTCTCTATGCTGCAATGCTGGAGTGAACATATGCCCGAGCAGGTTTTATCGCTTAAAAGGGATGGATTGGTTGTGGGTGAAAGCACGCTCTAATGAAAAGCTCTATTATATGTTCCGTGCCCTCAACAACCTTGTTGCTTTTGCTGGTCTGAGTATGAATATGCGCCAGTTTCCTACAGGATTCGGACAATTACCATTGGTTGTACAGGGAACAGTGGATGTAGGAATTTGTCACCTAAACCCAGACTCGGCTATAGCATCGTTTGCTCAGCTCTACATTTGCGATGATTACAAGTCTAGACGTTCGTTGAATGAAACCATGTCTGAGTGGAAGATGAAAATTGATTACGAGCTTGTTGAAAAAATAATCGCTATTTTGCGGAAGGAGCTTACCAGTCAATGCTTACCAGTCAATGTATGAGGTCGCCAGAGCTTACCAGTCAATGTATGAGGTCTACCTTGCTGAAGCCAATGCATTGCGCATCAAGGATGAAGACGTCTTACCACAAATCCTGATGAACTTGAAACACAAACGAGAGCTACCAGACACTGTATCGTCCAATACTCATGAAGCACGTCTGAACGTACCTAAGGTAGACAATGTGGTTGCAGCTATATATGTTTGTCGCAACGGTGTCTTCCCCACTGAGGACGAACTCGATAAAGGATTGCGTGTCTACAGTAGAGGAGGGCGATCAATTGCCGCTCATCATAACAACAATATTGATGCCATGTCATACCCTCTCTACTTCCCCAAGGGTGAGCAAAGCTTCGTGCGCGAAAGCTTGCCGAAGTTAACTCGAAAGCGAACTGCTCCAGTTGATATCACTGCGGATGAATCACGTCAGACGGATTTATTTTTCTCGGATGACCAAGACAAAGATGACCAAACGGATTCTCCTTCCCCTAAGTTCCTTCCCCGTGGCGATTTTTATCGGTTTATCCTTTCGCGGCATGGCAACTTGTTGGAGCATCGTTTTTATGGCAGCGGCAAATTGCTATCTCAGTTTATCATACACGTCTACACCAGAATTGAGGCGGACCTTCTTTCTGCCATCGGTAGGACCACCACACAAATCAGAGGTACCAAAGCCACAACACTGTATACTTACTTGGATCAGCAACTACAGGACAAGGGTTTCAAGCTCGGCAAACTCATAAATTTGCCCCGTTACTTTGTTGGCAGTACGCTATGGTATGATCAGCTTTATCACAATGCAATGGTTTTCGCTCAACGCCTAGGAAAACCTGATCTTTTTATAACATTCACCGGCAACCAGGATTGGCAGAGATGCGTGAAAATCTGGTGACTCGTTTTGATTCTTGGATAACCGATCTCCTTCTTTGCGCGAGGGTATTCAAACTTCGTCTGCAGAGTTTCATCAAAGAAATTGTCGACAAGAAGGTGTTTGGAGAAGTACTTGCTTTACAGTACAGCGTCGAATTTCAAAAGAGAGGCATGCCACACGCGCACATACTCGTCACCCTGCGCGAAAAACTTGATACTCCAGAAGAGATCGACGCATGCATATCGGCAGAACTTCAGGATTATCCCACAACCGACGATCCGGATGTTGCTACAAAATTGCAACTGTTCAATTTAGTGACTCGCTTCATGGTGCACGGCCCTTGCAAGTCACGTCCAGACCTTGCTTGTCGCTCAGAAAATGCTGCTTTTTGCGACAAACACTTTCCGAAGCCATTCCGGGATGCTACCGAACTCACTGATGATGGATATCCGTTGTATCGTAGACGAAATAATAGCAGAACCGCACCTGTAGGAAAGAAAAATAACTGTGGCATTAAATGCAGACGTCGTTCCCTACAACGCATACCTTCTAATGAAATACCAATGTCACATAAATGTTGCTGTTCGATTAAGGCCTTCAAGTACATCTACAAATACATCTACAAGGGTCCCGACAGATAATTTTTGAGATGCTCCGAAATGAACGATTTCTAGCTATGAATGCTAAACTGGATGCAAACAACGATAAAGTTGTGGACGTAGATATGCGCCAAGTTTTTTTGGAAGCACGTTGCTTATCGCACATGGAATCCGCTTATCGATTACTTCGTTTTCCTATATATAATATGCATACAGTGATCTTTCTTAGCGCTCATCTCCCCAACCAACAGCCAGTATATCTCAAAGGTTCGAGTGCAAAAGAAGTGACTCCTGTGAGTAAGCTTTTAGCTCACTTTTCACTGGTCAGAGAGTGTGAACGCGCCAGGCAGATGACATGGATTGAGGTGGCAGAGCAGTTTGTGTTTACTGGCAAAGAATATAAGGCCCTTACTAAGTCCAGTCGACGTATAGCTGCCTTATGGCCTGTCAACCCAAAAAATAGTGAACTTTATGCACTGCGAATACTTCTTTACAATGTTCGCGGAGCTTCATCGTTTGAATATCTTCGCACTGTCAACGGCGTTATTTATGATAGTTTCATGGCAGCAGCCGAGGCTGCCGGTTATATTGCCACGGAAACGGAGTGGCAGAAGTGCCTGGAGAGTGCTTCTGCTTTCGCTATGCCTTCTGCTATGCGAAAACTTTACGCTCAAATCCTTCTGTACTGTCGGCCAACAAATCTAGTGCAGTTGTGGAATCTTCATAAGAACTCAATGAGAACACGTTGCCGAACTTCCACGGAATCAGAAAGCTTATTAGATATGTGTTCATTAACTTACATCGAAACCATATTGAAAAACAATGGTGCATCCTTGGAAAACTGTGGACTAAAGAGTAGGTTGAAGAACACATCGACAACGTCGCAGAAAATTTGACACCTGCACAAGAACGAATTGTTAGTGCGATAATGGCTGAATCTAGACTACCCAAAGGAAGTGGTAAAAAGCTCTATTACATAGATGGAAGGACGGGATCTGGCAAAACTCGCACACTAAACGCCTTGATCACTTTATTGGAAGAGAGGGCAAACGAGTTCTATCGACGGCATCCACTGGCATTGCTGCTACGCTGTTGAAACACGGAAGGACAGCGCACAGTCTTTTTTGTCTACCGGTAAAAAAACTTCATAGTTGGTCAACGGCTAATGTGGAAGCATCGTCACCTGTCGGTCAAATGCTAAACACCGTGGATGTTATCGTCTGGGACGAAATTTCGATGCAATCGCGTTTTGCTCTAGAATGCGTCGAAAGGCTTTTGCGCGATGTTGCTGCACCATCTCTCGCCCACACCCTTTTTGGTGGTGTTACCATGATTTTAGGAGGAGATTGGTGCCAATTTTTACCAGTCATACAAGGCAGCACGCGACAAGAGACTTTAGATTCTACATGCAAGAATAGCCAATTTTGGAGACACTTCACGACTTTCACTCTCGATGAGAATCTGAGGATGGGTGCCGAAGAAGAGCAATATACAAGATGGCTTCTTTCCGTCGGAACTGGGGATAACTTCTACAGTGACGATAACATTTTATTACCATCCTCTATGTGCATGATTACCGAAGATGATGTCATCGAATGGATCTATACACCCGAGCTCTTGAATGATTCCTCAATGCTCGCGAGAGTTGCTTTGCTGACCGTGCGTAACTGCGACGTAGAAGAACTCAACATAAAGGTGCCGGAGAAGCTAGCAGGAGGTACGGTTGATTTAGTCGGAATAGATACACCTTCTGTAAAGGAGGACGGCTTGCATGGATTACCTTGCGACAACGCGGAGCACTTCCATAATATCATGCCTGCGTCATTGCCGCCGTACATTTTGCGGATCAAGCCTGGCTCAATTGTGATGCTGCTAAGAAATGTGGATGTGTCATCGCAGCTTTGCAATGGGACAAGACTTGTTGTGATATCATTCCACAATGAGAACAAGCTCCTTCGTTGCAAGAATCTGACCAATGGCGAGGATGCATACATACACAAAATGAACCTTGATTATACTAACGAGAAGACCGGTGTTTGTTTCTGCAGATTCCAGTTCCCAATTCGGCTTGCATTCTGCATGACAAGCAACAAAAGTCAAGGACAGTCATTCGATAAAGTGTGCGTTATTCTGCGAACTCCCTCGTTCGCGCATGGCAGTACTTATGTGGCATTATCGCGATGCACGAGCAGCAGCGGTATAAAAGTTACGAGAAATTGGTCCGAAGCAGTCCCTTAAGCTACAGTAATCAGGAATGTTGTTTACGACGAAATAGTACGCTTATAAAACCCAATGCCACTCCACACTCTGCACTTGCGTCCAACAAGATGAACCATTAAACATGCTATAACACCTACTAGATGATGGATAGCAACGATTTAGAAGCATTTTTTGTAGGTAATAATAATCTGAGGTTACTAGCACGAAACTTACAAACTTCCATTTTAGATCACGCAGACTACTGGCTCCGCCCTTTCACTGACATTTCTTAACCGTAAACTATGAATGGTTTCCTTCGAAGTTCTCATAAATGCGATGTAGTCTTTCTAGCTTTGGCGAAGTTGGTCAAAACATTACGTTCAATTGCGTACATACCTCGCTAATAAACGCATCAAAACATTGCACACTTTTTAACTAAATTCTACAGTAGTCTAACAAATTTGGCACATGGTTACTGACAGATTGACAGTACGGCACTGCCCGGGTGCCCAGATTTGCCCCTATATAGCTTTTGACTTGATGATCTTGCCTAGGATTTTTGCGCATTGTTGCTTATATTTTCTTCTAAGTCCTAAAGTTTCTTTGCATAGAAATCGCACGCCTTTGTTTTTTTCATTACTAGGACAGCATTAGACCGATGAGAACCTCCCCGGATATTTTTTGTATGTATGCGCGTTGTCTCATCGAGTGTCGTGTAATTCCTACAAATCTATCACATACGCATTTGTCCATCACGAGTCGTGCAGCTTTCCGTACTTTATCGGATCTACAATAATGATCCACGAGGCTTGTTACGGTTCAAGCCTTAGGTTTTTCTTTCAGTTGTATGTCAATTCTCTTCTCATTTTTTTCTATCAGCCTACCCATTTATCGCTAGCTTTTTAGTCGAGCCACGATCATACTTGGAAGTTTCTATCCTCGCTCTATGAACAGTAATGAATCACATTTACAATGGATCACGCTTCATGTCTGCCACGTTAACATCACTAAATCTGCCGCAAGGAAACACTCCTCGTTATTTTGCAGTAAGATCGTTTCTTTGATTGAGCCTTGATCGAACCTCATTGTTTCGTTTTCAGTAAACCATAATGGTAGGCTTATCGTAAGCGAAACTGTTCCCTCACTGCCGGCGGATGCTCTCGCTCGTCGTAGCCACGGTTGATCAATCAAAGCCTATATGGATTGTTGTGTGGCGTTGTGTGGCTGTGCATCATATTCATGGATAATCGCATGCATTTTCCGTATCTTAACGTCGTGCATAAGAGGTGCGCCTTGTATGCTGTGGGCTGTGCATCAACGGTGGCAGGTATTTGTTCTGATTAGAGGCTGGTCGGATTACAATTTTTTCACTTTTTAGTGAAAGGTCCTCAGCATTGTTTCACTACAGTGATTGCTCTCCTTTGCCCTTACTACGGTTTGACTTCGTGCTTCTATCGGACATCTGCGACAAGAAAGCGTCAAGCTTATGACGATTTGAAAGCGTTAGGTAGGCCTTTCAATTGGACGTTGGCCAACTTTTCATTTTCATCTTTTCCGGTATGAGCCTTGATCGATACCTCATTGTTTCGTTTTCAGTAAACCATAGTGGTAGGCTTATCGTAAGCGAAACTGTTCCCTCACTGCCGGCGAATGCTCTCGCTCGTCGTAGCCACGGTTGATCAATCAAAGCCTACATGGATTCCAGTCGTTGTGTGGCTGTGCATCATATTCATGGATAATCGCATGCATTTTCCGTATCTTAACGTCGTCCATAAGAGATGCGCCTTGTATGCTGTGGGCTGTGCATCAACAGTAGCAGGTAGTTGTTCTGATTAGAGGCTGGTCAGATTCTCATTTTCCCCTTTTTAGTGAAAGGTCCCCAGCATTGTTTCACCACAGTGATTGCTCTCCTTTGCCCTTACTATGGTTTGTCTTTGTGCTTCTATCGGACATTTGCGACAAGAAAGCGTTAAGCTTATGACGATTTGAAAGCCTTAGGTAGGCCCTTCAATCAGACGTTGGCCAACTTTTCATTTTTATCTTTTCCGATAAAACATCGTTGCACTTGATGCCTTCTTACCGTTATTGTAACTGCCCCTCGATCGAAACCGCAACTCTACTTGAAGACTTTAGTTATCTTTATTTGAACACCAATGGATCACGTCTATAACACATTACGTTTACTGCATCATATCCTCATCGTTACATCTCTTATAAGAGCGTCGCGCTTGCTCCGCATCAACAGCATCAGGTAGTTCTTTTTTGGCTTAAATCGTCTTTTTACTGTTTCCTTTTTCAGTGGCGCAGTTTTGTAACGCAATTATGTTGACATTTCGTTTATTGCCTTTAATCCTGATGCCCTGTACTTGGATGTTTTGGAGGGCATCAGTGTAGGAGTGGATCACAACTGTAGTGAATCACTTCGAGCAACATCTAAAACTTTTGTTCATACATTTACAGCAAGGTATCGCTTTTTATGGATCAACAGCATAGGATGACTCTTTTCATCGTTCAACAATCTATTTATCTACTGTTTTCTTTTCCAGTGAAGCGATTATCACCGAACTTTGTTTCTCTGACTGGTTGCTTCGCCAAATTACGACTGCACTTCGAGGTTTCATGCGCTACTCTGATTTATGAACAGCATTTAACATCTAAAATCAATCACATGTTAGTTTGTTTTTCAGGACTTTCAATATTTTCACTACAAATAAGCCCCACGCTTTCTATGCTGCAACGACATTAGGTCGCTGTTTTGGTTTGCTTTGGTCGATCCCTAATCGTTTCCTTTTTCAGTAAACCATATCGGTTTTCATCTTTGTACCCGGAAATGTTCCTGCCATCAACGCTGAATGCCCTCATTTATGATAACCTAGGAACTTTGCAGCTTCTATCAGCTTCCGTAGTAATCAGTGGGTAACATTCATTACGTAACAAGTTTACGCAATTTCTTGTATCTTCGTTGAATTATTTGCAATAGGATGCGTCATTTTTGCTATGGATAAGTAGCAGTAGGTAGTTTTTTTGATTGCGCGTTGATGGAGTTTTAACCTTCTATCAGTGAGATACGTTTGCATTCACTAAGGCTGCGTTCATACTGATCTCCAAGTCCGGGAACATTTCCAGCACAATGCTCGAAATTGAGCGCTGTGCTAAAACTGTTCCCGGACTTCGAGATCAGTATGAACGCAGCCTAATCGTACTATTACCGCTAACTGCGGCATATCTACTTTGCTGGTTACTATTTGGACACCATTTTGCAATGCTTTCAGGGTGTCAAATTGAACGGTACCGGCTTATGGATTGGAGTCGAACTATCATCTACCCCCTCCCCCCACTCTCATACTCGGTGCGCGATCACAACATCTTCTGTTAACATTGCTTTCATACACTCTACATCTATTCGTAAGATATTGTTTTAATATACTCACTCACTGTATCACTGTTTTCATCGCTAATCGCATTGTATAAACAACTGCCTCCTACTGCTAATCCTATCTGAGACAATAGCTTACCGGCATTTAATAAAACGATGGAAACAGTTCTGCTTTTGAAGTTGTCTGAAATGATTTCAAAGCTCTCTGTAATGTTCACCTGGCATTATGCGTCCGACAATCTTAGTTTATATCTACTTTGCTAGATTTGTTCATCTAAATCCAGATTTTTACCGCATAGTTTCGAGCCCAGCCTACCTACTACCACGCACTAGTTTGGTACAGCTTACCAACATAGACTGATGCTTGTCCGATTTACAATATATTTCAAATTTCCTTGGAGCTTTGTACCCTCCCCGGCAAACTGTGTTGGGCGGGGCTGCCAGTATACCCGCCAGCCGAACTTCCGGTTTGCTATTATGGAATCAAAATAAGATCGTTCCTTGCTGGCAAACGAGGGGGCATGGGTACTTCTCCAGAGCGTTTCCCCATAGAGTTCACGCAAGTGCAAGCATTGTTATCTATACGCGTTTACGCAAGCTGCTTCTACACAATCTTTTCTCTCATAAGCTTAGTCTGGGCTTGAAAGATGTGGTGAAATGCTCATTATTGTTGTGTTTCATGTATTACTGACACATTTTTGTCAATGTTTTGGAACGCCTAGAGCGTATCTAATGAATGAATGAATGAATGAATGAAAACGCAGTAAAAATATAAATATAATATAATATACATTATGTACATAACACCGAATTGAAAATATATAGAAGGGATAAACTCATTTCAAATGTCTTATAAACCGCTAAGGCCGCTGTCAGTTCAACGTACAGTTTGTCCTAATTGGGATCAGGCCCAATCGTTGTCGCTGCGTATGCGCACTGTCAGAAAAAGCTAAGGGATTGAAGCGAGAACAGACGAGGTAACTGTGGGCGTGACGCAAAAACCCTGGCGACGAGGGCCATTGCCCATTTCGACCTGGTTGGGATTGGGACAGACTATACGAAATTATTAGTATGCGTGATCATCAACTTACTGAATATAATTAGACGCTCTGTAATGAACATTTGCCCTAAAAAAATGCCGGTATACCAAATATTACAAAGTCAGGTTTTTTGCTCTATAGGGAGTACTATGCATTTGCGTGTGTCTAGACGGTGATATTACAACATCAGAAACAGCAAACTTAGCTCACGAAGAAGGTCACAATCTTCTTTTGGAATGATGCTTCGCAGCTAACAATAGCATAACGAATCAGTCAAACTGCCTCCAAATAATTGCGTCATTTTTTTAACTTACAAGGGAAGCGTCTTTAGTCGAAGTGGCCTTTCCACGTGTCACCTATATCACTTTGTAGAGCATTGAGTGATTTCAAATCCGTCTTCCATATCTGCCAAGCGCCTCTGGAGGCCGAGTTATGTGCACTTTCTATTTCGAAAAACTGAGTGCGTAACTGGAACACTAGTCCAAGACTGCTTAGATGATCAGGTGTTCATTATCGGAGCATTTCAACTGATGAATACCTTCTGTCTAATACCCTTATACCCTCAACAGTGCTTTATTTGAGCGCAGAAAATATTGTAATTACTGTTTTTACATAGATTCTGCGTTCATTTTTTGCTCCAAAAAACATAACTCCACGCCCAGGGGCGTTTGGCAGATAGCGAAAACAGATTTCGAATCAGCGTTTAATGCTCTTCAAAGTGATATAGGACTCCGTTTGGAAAGGCCATTTGACTAAAGACGCTTCCCTTGTTAGGCTAATTTGGGCTTTGAGCGTTATCGTTCTTTTCTGGTAATGTCCACGAATTTGCCTCGACCCACTAGCTAGCGGCCCTACGGGCCGCTAGTACTTGATATAAAATCGATTACCCACATCTGAAAGTTTTTTGTAGAGCTTTCTACTAATTTCAAACCACTAAAAGCTTGACAAATTTGGACATTTGAACACTCATAAATTCTTTCGAGAAGTTGTTTTTAAAAAATGAAGAATATGGAGTTAGTGTTTGAAAAGGCGTTCAGTGATATACTATGTTGGTATATTTCCTTATAAGCAATATAATAGCACGGTTCCTGTTCTTTCAAAACACATTTGTGCTCCTTGATCTCCATCCTACCAGATATGTGTGACTATTCAAAAGTTAAGCAATGCTTTACTCGCATTTATCGAATTGTGGAAGTGTGAAACGTAGCAAGTATCGCAAAGACAGCTTTCTTCACACTTCGAGTCGTGATTTCAGACTATTACGAACCCCTTAGCTAGCTATTATCCACGTCGATGAAGTGACGCCTTTAGCGAGAAGATTGCTCTCAAACTGCATCTTTTTGCTTCCCCATCGAGCGAAGCCCTCTCTATTGTCAGTTGTGTACTCAGAAAAATCTTGATATTACTTTTGTTTCCACAGTTCCTTTTCTCTTGTTTTCAAATCAAACATACCGCTTTGAGATACAAGGTGTGTTTGAGCTCTTCGCTAATTTTGTTGGAATGTTCTTTAGTGATCTTATACTCTTCTCTATATGGCATAGTTTGCCCATATTTATGCAATAAGGAGATGATCTTGATTTGGAGAGAAGTGTTCTCTATGTAGTAAACTACAGGTGTTGAGTTTTTGTTCATGTATTCTTATCGAACCGCAGAGATGAATGGCCTTTTATTTTCCAAATTTTCAACTTCTGCTTGAAATTCGGTTATTTTCTACATATTGCCAAGGATTGTTCTTTCGAATTTCGACAATACTTTGCATGAGTAAGTGTTAGTATTCGACATGTGAGTATTAAGGTGGTCTGTACAGGCAAATGAGGATGATTTTAGAATTCCACACCTAATAGATTTTGACGGTTTCATGGTGGTCTGGGGTAAACTGCGAGGTTATAAGGTTACCGTAACCCCTTTTTAACACCACGATATATTTGAAGTGCTGAATATTTTGATTTGCCACACATTCTCTTCTGCTGAAGGAGAACGCTCAGGCAATTCGCTGACATCAAGTTCAATGAGGTGAAGGAAGTTTGAGTGCAGTCCTGAGATTTTCGTTCTTGTATAATATTGGATTTTGTTGCACTTTTTTGCGCTCGTTTCAAAACTGCCGCAATATTCAAAGGAGCACATTTTAGAAGCACCGTCCATCCCAAGGTAGGGTTTCTTGAGCTTTCAGCAGCTTGCGATAGTAGAATTTTTTATTAAGCATATGCCCAACTCGCGGCTCAAAATGTCGCTCCGGAAGCGAAAAATCGCTAATAGAAAGGTC